GAGCCTGCCTGTGCGGAGCGGCCGTACTTGTACCCAACTCTGGCAGTAGAGATAAAAAATACCCCCTAATAATCAAAACACTTTCCGAGTATCTACTGGGGGGTAGGGATTACCTTTGATCTTTTGTGTCACGCATGCGGGGTTGCTTGAGCATGTCGCTATCTGCCATTTGCAATTCGCTTCCCGTTGGGCTCCGGTTCCTGTTCTGTCTGCTACTGCTTCCTTCCCATGATGCCTCACAAGAGCAGCAAGAATTAAACGTGCGTCCAGGCCTCCCTCCAGTCGGCTCGGCCTTATTTCCTAGTGTCATCTAGAGCCGGTCTACAAAGCTTATTGCCGGGTTTCATCTGCAATACCCCATGTCATTCAGGACGACAAACTCCTAGCGGATCTGAAGCTGCAAGGTTTGTCCGAGGATCAGGCCAGCTTGTGCTGCGTTTGCTCCCTTCGCAGAATTTCTAGCCGAAAGGCCTTCAGATGACTCGCCAGGCACGCGCTGTGATGTTAGAGATGAGAAAAAATGTGGAGCTGGATGACGACGAGTTTGACGAAGACGGAGTAGAGGATTTCCCGACTTCCGTCCGCCGATGGATGAATGAGCAGCCGCAAACCCTGGCGGAGGACAGTTGCTGACCTTGAGCTTGTTACTTGCCGAGATTCTGCATTCAGCGGCTTTCAGGGGCGATGCCGATGTTTTTACGGCTCAGGACCCAATGAGAGACTTCAACATGCAGGCACCAACTCATATTAACATCACAAAGTGATTCTGCAGCCCAGTGTTTGCTTGATCCGCTTGCTGTGCACAGCATTTTGAACCTTTGCTCACTTTGACAGGTTCGCTTCCAGGGACATGTGGACACCACGCCCACCGATCATTTAGGCTGGCTGTGGCCGAAGTGGTGCGCTTTCGAGCTTCGGATAGATTGTTGAGGTCTGACTGCTGCTCCAAAATACCAGAGACTGAATCACTCACAGCACGATCTTCAAAGCTTGCTTCTGTTTCCGAGAGGTTGCCTTCTACGGATCCTCTTCGAGGAGGCATGCTGTACCTGCATCAGCGAAGCTGCGGCCAGCAAAAAGAAACTCCAGCACCGCAGCAGCACATTGGCAGCCGACTTTGCGCCACAACAGTTCCTGCTGTCCGCCTGGCCACTGCTCAGGCCTATGGCTATTGCCAAGAAGCTGGAGAAGCCGCTTACAAGATGGGCGCCGTTACTAAAGGCCTTGTATCGAAAGACTCTTGCAAGCAAAGACACATGTTTTCAAACAACAGGGGAGTGTGCATTTGTTCTGCGACTCACACTCGCCACTAGTGAGGACATGAGCCCAATGTAGATCCATTGCAGTTGTAAGGATTTCTGAGATCGGCGATGAAATTGGCGATCCTTTCCAGGCTCGAATGCCCGAATTAAATTGGACCATGGATTGGACTCGGACTGCAGTTGTCTTGATGCAGGCTGCTGATGTTGTTTGCTCGGCTTCTCAGACCGCAGCCGGATCTGCAGCGACAGCCGCTAGTGCCAAAGAAGCGAAAGGATCTGACAGCTGCACGAGTAGCTGACCGTGCAGTGTACACACGATGCTGAAGTGCTCACTCATCAAACCTCGGGCAGGAGCTATCGCCATGGTTGGCTGCTTAGTCGGGCTGCGGGAAGCAGATCTTGTCGAAGACGACGAGCTTCTTCAAGGGTGCCCCGATTGCACGGTAGTTTGTTTGTACGGTGCACGTCGGCACACAGTACCTGTCAGAAGCAGTTGCTTGCTCTTTGCTGTGGATTTGCCGCACAGTCATCAGGTGCAGACGAATGCCGTTCGAGAACGAGCGTCCAATCGTCCTTGAAAAGTTCATGGAGGACCTGCTCGCAGCACGAAACGTTCCCACGTGCATCACACGATGGCTGCTGTATCTCGTGACCTTCTACTTCCAGGACCTAGACGAGGATGAGGACGATGAAGATGAGGATGACTAGTAACTAGCTCTCGCGGACTTGTTTGTGCAGACATGTTCCGCCGGGAAAAAGAGCACAGCAACCTTCGACACATTCATTCAACTTTCCGAGATACAAAATGCAGGCATGGCAGATCGTAACAATCTGTAGCCATACCGTCACACTTTGGCGGCCGTGTTCCGGGGTCAATGCGCAGCGCCAGTCTACAGTGGTGTAGGTCACGATCTTGACTATCGAGCCTTCTCTCGAGGTTGGCCGTTCACTTCTTGGGCAACTTGGCTGACACACCCTGGCATCACTGCATGCAAGTGACCAGTTCCAGCTAGAGGCATACACGGAGTGGCAACACTTATCGGTGATTCAGTGATGGGGTCATCTGTGCAGAAGCCCAGCCGGGTTTTCCGTCGCGCAGAGAGGCTACAACCTGATGACCTATGGCTTTGCATTGGCGGCTCCGTTACTGGGAGGAATCAAGTCCCGAATCTGACTAGAGGGTCGGGCAGATGTGTCAGGTTTCTGCCTGACTACAAGAACAATGTCAACAAGGAGAAAAGCTCCTGAGCGCATCTGAGCAGCGATGTTGCACAGACTGGTCCCGAAGACCGGGTACTCATTGGCAGTTAATGCGCCTCCCGAGTGGGCAGCTAGCAATCAGAGTCCTCAAGCTCAGAACCAGTGGATTCTCGCAAACAGCTGCCATGTGCTGTACTCGTAGCAAGAAGAGCTAGCTGTCGGCCAGGGACTGCTCCTATTGCAGCCACAGAGGTTGCAGGTCATGCCAGGTTTCAAAGAGGAGAGCCACCAATATGCAATTGGGCATGCGGCCCTCTGAATCGTTCATGAAGACTAGATCAGGGGGAAGGGCTACGTTGTTCAGCGAGTTCCAAGTTTCCGTTGCAGGCCGGGGTTCTTCGACCAGACAGCGAAGTCATGTTGAAGCCCATGAGCGACGCAACATTTGCCGAGGCTCCGGAACTTCAGCATATTTCAGGACAGAACGACAGGGCTTGGATGCCTCGTGGAAGGTGCTTCGCATTCGGCAGCTCTACATCGAGGGGAAGGCTGTGCAGGGCAGCGAGGTGTTGCACCGAAGCTCCACTCATGTCGCATTACAATACTGAACCCACGTGTGTTTCAATCGACGCTCCCCGGCTCCTAGCTCACATCAGCTAATGGAAGATAATGTGGAACAATGATGTTTTCTTGTTCCTGGAGGATGCACGGCTGCAAAGAGCACAGGGCGAGGCAGTGACCCCGACAGCGGCAGCGGCAACACTGTTTTTCATGTTCTTCGATGACTTTCCATATTTCCGAGCGAAATCATGCTGACAGATCACATGGAGATTCTCCTCGAGCACATCCTTGTTTAGCTTATTCAGCTCCACAGACTCAGGTTGAGGTGAGTGGGTTTCCTGGCTCGCCAAGCCCTCAAAGCTTGTTTGCTTTTAATTTCATTTCGCCTCGACACACCCCAGGCTGTCTGTCTTGAACGGCAAGCTCACTCTTCGGCCCGACAGCTGATGCGGAACTTCCTTGTTTTCGTTCGCTTCAGCCTCTCATGATCAAAGGTCGGAAAGTTGGAATCACCAGCCCGCATGGCACAGGTGGGTCCAAGCAAATCTCTTGTCGCCCTCGCTTACGTAGCAGTCAGGCAGAGCAGAAGCAAAGAAGAGGCGAGGAGTTCATGTTTTCAGGAGCTCCAACAGGGCAGGCATCCGCACGTGATCAAGCACCCTGAGGGTGGGGTGGTTTGCATGCGTAGGGGACGACCAGGGGTTTTGCTCACGTGAGTGGGATGATTGGCTGAGATTCTTGGCATGCAGGCTCCAGGCATTTTTTCTTGCATGAATTCGAGCAGGTGTTCCTGTACCGAGATTCAGCAAATTCCAAATGGGCCCCAGCCTGAGAACCATATCCATCGCAGTTCCATCGCATTGCATGTCTTCTTGACCGCTGGAGTCGCTGGAGGTTCTTGGCCTCGAGCTGGGCGATGGCCATTCTCGCATGGCGCATGTGCACAGAGCTTACACCGGAGTTGGCTGAAGCTGTGGCTTCACGGTCATGTTGTCGAGACATGTGCCTGTGTGACCACAGAAAAAAGCAAACTGGAAGTCTTGTCAAACGCGGAGTCGCCTCTGACGCTGACGACTTACGGATCAATTCGCGACACGGCACGACAAAATGGCGAAAAGACTCGAATGACTCGATCGGCGAAAACACTGATCAACCAGAAACAAGCTTGGGCACAATGCCTCCGCAAGTAAGATGAAAGATTCGCATCGAGGAGGACGACGCAGCAGCCCGAAGCATAGAAAACCCGCAAGACTCGGGGACGAAGACCCAGGGCACAGATACCCCGAAGACCAGGTCGACATGGCGACTCGGGGCATGGATACCCTGCAAGACCGTGGGATAGATACCCCGCAAGCCAACTTGCTTCGCCACGAGGTAGATATGGCAACTCGGGGAATGGATACCCAAGCCAACTAGCTTCGCCACGGAGAGGTCCATATAGCATCTCGGGGCATGGAAACCCTGCAAGCCAAAAGCCTTCGCCACGAAGAGGTCAATACAGCATATGGATACCACGCAAGACCGGGAGATGGACACCCCACAAGCCAACAAGCTGCGCCACGAAGAGGGCAGTATAGCAACTCGGGGCATGGATACCCCGGAGGACCGGGAGAATGGATAGCCCGCAAGCCCGGCGCGGTCGCTCTCCCATCCCTGCCTTTGCCTTGGCTGCCGGTCGGACTTCATAGGGCTGGACCACAAAGATAGGAGCGCATCAGCCCAGACAGCCGCAGACCTTAGTGCCTTTGCTGGGGTCCCAGACAGAGTCGCTGCAAGGAAAGGCAAACAAACCACCAACCTTGGTTGCCTCGCTAAGGTACACTTCCTTGGAGTCACCTGGCGAGGGTCTGGTTTGGGAAGTTGATTGTCACGTCCTCGGCGAGAAAATAACTGCAAAGCCGACTTCAATTCAAGTCAGGTGGCGATCGTTGGCTGCCATTTTTGCCTGCGTGGTGGGCTTGGTCCTGGCACATCCTGTGCGCAAAGACTGGCTTCAAGCATGCCGTGTTGTCCCAAGGACCGTGCGGACTGCAACCCCCTCCACCTTCCAAGGACGGACCCACTAACTGCAGACGATGCTTCGTGAAGTGGCTACATGCTGAAGTCAGGCTCACCTTTCGATGTCATCATGTGCTAAATTGGGAGAGATCTGCATCAGCAGCACTTGTCGCAGGACATCTGTACATGCCAAAATTGGCCAAACAGCACCTTCCCATCAAGCCTGGTCTGGAAATGCCAGGTGACGACGCATCGGCTCACACTGCGCCCAAGTCAAAGCGCTCCCGTGCAAAGAGCGATGAGAAAGGAAAGCGCTCTGCAAAAGATTCCAGCAAGGAAAGCGTGGTGCGAGAAGCTGACATGCTTACTGTTTGCGCACATAGGCACAGGCTGCCCAAGGTGGGTCGACAGACGACAGCTTGAAGTTGGCTTATGCATCGAAAGATGCTGCCGGCAGATTGTCCCGATTTGAAATCAGTTCTAGCTGCTAGCCGCCAGCCGGAGTCATGAGAAGCAGCACATGATCGTTTAGTTTGGCTTGATGATAGATGGTAACGTTAGGCAGCACTCCACAACAACGGCTCAAATTTTAACATGTTAACCCGTAAGAGTGACCACCCTGCACCCCTCCAAGGGGACGAAGCCCACACTTAGAAGCCTTAGCTTACCTTGCTGTATCAGTTGGTTGCAGCCATGGCTTGGAACCTTTGTCGAAGCCTTCTGAGGCATCCGAACAGGAGTCAGATCGTTCTGACAAAACTTCTTCTGCTGAGGGTTGTGATGGTCAAGTGTTCGGAAGACGAACCCCGCAAGTGCTGACTTATATTTCGCTTGGCCTGTCTTGGTCTCTCATCCTGCACTTGCACCATGCCGCTGCGCGCGGCTTCTTCGCAATACAACCGCGGCAAGCTTGCATCTCTGTTTTGTGTCGGCACGTCTCATGGAGCTAGCCAAGCTTGGAAGAAGCATAGTTTGCAGGCGCACGTTGCCACCTAGTCTTCCCCAACTTGCAGCGCTAAGCCTGACTCTCAAGGACATGTTGAAATTCGCTGGGTGTAAGGCACTTCTTCAAAGCCCAGCTTCACTGCAAAGGTCCCTATGGCTTAGCAGCTCGGCATTTTGCTGAAGCAGCACCCAGTCTGTCGCAGGCACGGCCTGAGAACTTACTAAGCATCCTGCAACCTGCAAAGCCCCTGAAGAGTGCAGGATGCTGAGAGGGCCCTTGGCTCAATCAAGGCTGAAGAGAGCACGTTAGCAAGAGTCGGGTTCGGGATGCAGGCTCGCCACAGGCCGGCAGTAGACTCAGCTGGCCAGGCAACCATGCAAGCCCAGAAGAAGGCCAGCTCAGCTCGTTTTGGGTTTTGTCAGAGTTCATGCAGACTTCCCAGTAAAGATGCAGTGCATGTCACAGGTCGCACAAATACATCTCTCCAAAGCCCAGAAGCGCAACTTTCCTGGCAACATCAGGAAGTGCCCCAAAGCATCGACCAAGGGAGCAGAGCAGGGAGCAGACAGTCCCCGCGACTCCGAAGGTACAAGCTCATGGGCGGCAGACCGGAGTTTCACAATGCACGGCGCTCTTCGGGCTGCTCGTTTGGCGATCCAACGCTCTCCGAACGGGTCTGCCTGGCAACGAGGTGGATCGCAACAGGTACGGACGCATCTTCGAGCTACGCCCTTCTGGCTTGAGGGCGGCGGTTGAAATGCCCATCGGATCTTGGCATTTAGCAGCATGTAAGCCCTGAGGCCATGGCACAGCTTTGAAATTGTCATAACGTGGCGGCCTTATCGTGACAAGTTGTCCTGAGCCGCGTGTCCCTCGGCTCCTCCTAAGCACAGTGATGCCGAATGATGCTTTAACTCATCTACATGAGCCGCAGGTCATCCAAGAATAATTGCTGGGTCGTTGTGAAAAACAAAAGTGCGGTGCCAAGACTGCACGTAGGCAACTTGCAGATGGCGATGGCTAGGTCGCACACAGCCAGGCACATCAGGAGTTCAGGAATTGTCCAGGGGAGTCTTGCATCAAGGCTGGCGTCATCGAACTGTCATTCGGTCCCATGCCGGCAACGTGGGCTACCGCGGCGCACCAGGGCAGAACAGAGCACAGGAGTTCCTTGCGGAGCGTTGCATTGCAGTTACTGGCCGCCTCGATGAAAATGTCCTTTCGTGGTTGCTATCTTTGCAGCAGCTGAGGCACTGAAAAAGTCCGAAGCTGCCACGTACGCAATTGCCACAACCTCAGCTTCTCTGCCGGCAACATTCCCAGTCGCTAGAGCATGGCGAGTTTGGGAGTTCGCTTTGAGCTCCGGCCTGAACTAGAAAGATTTCTTGACAGGTGTACAGGAAATTTACCAGCACAAATAGTTTGGCGACGCTTAGCAACGAGGGGGGAGGATCACAGGCTCTCCCAGGTGCTGCGCAGCCTTCAGACGACGAGAATAGGACAAGGGAAGCAGCCCTAACGTCCAAAATTATGCCCGCCGCGCTGATACTGCACAAGGGCAAACAAGGAAAGGCTTTCACGAGAGAGAGGCGACAAGCCTCCCACGTTGGAGAACAAAGAGGGAAAGATCCGAAGTCCACTGCGCAATCCGGACTGGAGTCTGGGGTGTTCGAAGACTGACACTTCGCGGCACGAGGACACGAAGAACCGTCGTTTGCACAGCCAAGGGTCTGAACATTGCGAAGAAGCTGCGTCGACTTGGCATCAAGCTCAGATCGTGCTGGTTGACAGTGACAACCACCTGCGCATCATCACGCTTCCAAGTTCTATGTAGGCATTGACGTTGATTTGATTGCTCGTCGTACTTTGTCGAACTGAGGTGTCACTTGTGCCGAGGTTCACTTCAGAAAGTTGATGAAGGAGCGACAGCATGCACGGCTTAGCAACACATTCCGCTGCATGTCCTGCCGTTTCGACTGAGCATGGCCGCTGATTCTGCGGCCCTTGCAGCTCAGTTCAATTTTCAAGATTGCTGCCAGGTTGAAACCTGCCTCCAAGCATTCCAGAACGTTGGCTTGCAGGCGGGTTTTTGTCGCAGTGCTTTCTGCTTCACCCATCCTGACGAGTTTGCATGAAGAGCTCCTTGCGACTAGAGCACCCAGATCACAAAGCTGACGCACATGCCTCGAACTCCAATCGGCCACTTGACAGCATCAAGCTAGCATGAACGTGCTGGGTTAAGAGACTGAAGTGCAAAGCCCACAATGGAGTCATGCGCCGTTACATTGTCATCCCTGTCGCTCTTCAGACGAGGAAATCCGCACAAACCACGCAAGAAGCGGCGTGTGTGAGCTTCGGCTTGGATGCTGCTGCCCAGAGCAGACACATTGCAGACACTTTCAATTACCCCCGGTTCGGCAGTCAGGATTGGCAGGTCACCTGCTTCTGCCGTTACCGGCTGCATTAGAGTGTTTCGATGTATCACGTAGCCAAAGCCGACACACGATGTTGCTACTGATGCCACGGCAAAATCAGTTGCTTCATATCCCAGACCCCTGCAAGAAGCTGGAAAGTAGAGACTTTCATTTGCAAGCCTATACGACTGCATGAACCCCTTAAGGGATCGACTGTTTGGATCCTCCCAGAGCTTTGGGATGCTGCTTGTACCAGCTGGAGGATGTGGACTGTGGGATGCAGGGACGGGGGGCATATGCAAAAATGCTGAGCCGCCATGGGCGGAGTTGTCTTTTGTCGCATAAGAAGCAGCGGCTCGAGAGCAAAGCGGGCAGCTTCCCCAGCAGAGGACCCTGTCCTCCAGTGCAATTGCCGCGGGGATCGAAAACCTGTCCCCCCTGAGGATGGCGCCCGGCGGGTTGGGCGACGGACTCACCACCTTCGACCCGCCACCGCCTCCAGGCCGACGGATCAAGGCCATGGAAAAATACAAAGATTAGCTACTGGACAGATCGTATGCCTAGCAGCCGCCCGTTCGAGCATGAGGAGTGGAGTCCAATCGATCGGATGCTAGCGGAGAAGCAGCCAAAGCGGCGGCACCTACACGGCAAGAGATTGAGCAGGTTGTGGAATTGATCACAGCGGCTATTTACACCTCGAGCGAGCGCCGCTCTTCTCGTTCCTTCTCCACAGCGTGGTAAAGCAGGGTCGGGGTGATTCTCCTTGAGACTGCGCGCACCACGGCAACAGAACGATTGATCATTTCACACGAATGCACGAGCATCAGAACACGACAACACGAGTTCCACAGCCGAACAAGGCCTTGACCATTCACCGGTCGTCACTGGGTTTGCTTGCTCAACCTATCCTGAGTGTTGCTACAGAAAACACACAAAGTGCCAGCGCAGCCCCAAAGCGTCAGAAGCATGTGACAGAAGCATTAGGATACCATTTTTTCCTCATATTTTTAGGCGCGTGGGACACCTGGGCTTTTGCGTAGCTTTAGCTGTTTCACTAGCGTTGCACGCGAGTGCCCTTCTGCCTTGGCGAGGCATCGCACTCGGCCCGCCAGGTTTTCAAAGCCTCCTTGTAGAGCCTTTTAAAGTCGCAAGCTGCGTTCGCGGATCGTAGCACTCGTCGAACCGGTGTTGAATCGCACTTTCGCGAGGCTTTCGCAGATCATGGCAGCTTGGAACATTCGTAAACAAACTTTCTAGAAGACAGGACACGAAGCTGCCCGCTTGATTCAAGCGGTTACGAATGCAACTCTGGTATGTCGATCAATACACAGGCATTCAACAAGGAGCCACTTATTTGGTAGTGGGATTCGGCTCATGTTTAAGATGGTCCTCCTCACACAGTGCATGTCAGCGGGGAATACAACCTAATGCAACCTACCTAGTATATTTTTTGTCCTTTGGGGGTTGAAAAAAATCGACCTGCTCGTGTATTGTCGTGATTGGGCTCGGGCCGCACAGCTCTATGAGGACATCAAGCTGGCTTTGTATCAAATCGGCTTGCAGAACTATTCCAAGTGTAGCTCCGTCCTCCAAGCTGCTGACAATAACTCATCTGTGTGATTGAAGCTTGTTTGAAAAAACCTTTCGGGCATTGGGTTTCCACAGATCAGTCTACTAGCAGCATGCTGCTCCGCACGGTGAGGGCTGCATGCCAGCAGGCCGCAAGATCTCATAAGATGTCATGGCACATAGGCATCTTGCAACAGGCACATCGCTTTAAAATCCTGTGGTACAGGCCCCGGCTGGATCCGACGCAGTATGACAACGGGTACATCGCCGCAAAATCCTGTGGTACACGCCCCTGCTGGATCCGACGTAGTACAACTGAGATAGCCTGAAAGTGTCACGGCATTATGTCCAAACTTCCCAAACTACACGCACCGGAGTTCCTTGGATGTGGGCCTGCCATGCTTGTCTTTGTGTACTCCTGGCGTGGAGTTCTTATGCCGTGCCAATGTATGATATGCCTCCTCAACTTAATCACATCGATAGGGCTGAGGCCCCCACGCGTTCCCACGATGATCACCGTCTTGGATGGCGCAGCCGTGGCAATTTGTTCCTCAAAAACCTGCTGTTTTGCCACAAACATTGGCACATGGTGTGTCACGTTTTCAGGAATCGGATCAAGTCGTACTTAGACTTACTATGCTCGAATAATTTGCTTGCATGCCGCATCATGCATCGCGAACCCTTCGTGCACTGCTCCTGTGAGTAGTCGCCGGGGACTCCACCCTGATTGATGTGGCTGAGCTTGGCTGCATTTGCGCCCCTTCTCACTGCACTGAGCTCGTAACAAAAACAATTGCTTCAAGCACCAAGTGGAACCAGAAACTATGCAGGCACAGCTTGATCCGCCCAAACGTTTCGAAGCCTTCGTCAGAATGGGTTATGCTTTCCCTGACAGCGAAGTGCAACTGCTTTGGTTGATGCTGCCATGGCTTAGGACCAAGACCGAACTGCCGCCGCTCAGCACACCACCGGCGCCGGCCGTCATCACTGCTTCGGCTCAGGCACCCTGAAGTCAGGGAGTCGAGCCAACATGCTGTAGGCTTTGGGTCCCACTTGCAGAAAGTTTGTTGCAGAGCGTGAAGTTGTCCAAAGAGGTGCAGACGAACAGCTGGGAGTGGCTGCTGAAAGAGGCGTTGGCTCCCGAGCATGCAAAGTACCAAGCCCAGAACCAAGCTCTTCAGAAACTTGGCAGAAACGCGCAGCAGTCGATGCTTTGGCTTGCGCACTGCCAAGCTTGGCCCTTGTTATGCGAGGACTGAGCTCCAGGCTCTCGAAGTCCGACTAAACCAGACGATAGCCGATCTCGAAGCAGAGCGAGAAGCCCACACCCAGACGAGATCCTGCTGGGAAGAGGAGCGTGCATCCCTGGATGAGCGTCAAAAGATGCTGGACGATCAGAGGAAGTCAATGGAGTCCCAAAGGCCAGAGCATGCAAAATCATGCAAATGCGCAGTGTGCTCTATCCTGCTCTGGTCCAGGCTGCAGTGGACCCAAGAGCGAGAGGCCGGTCAAACGGTTAGTCCAGAAGCCAAAAGCTTTGGGTCACATATTCCCCACAGCAACTCGCCGCTTTAGCCCCTCGGTTGTACTGGTGTACCACGACGTTTTTGCCGGCATGGTGGAACCGGAACATCGAATTCATGATGTGTCGTGCTTGTGTTTTTTGCATTCCTTCGTGTTTGCGGCTCGCATGTCAAGATTGCTTGTATTTGCAGTGACGGCTAGAGTGCCGCAGTCTGGGGCGGCAGGCTCTCGAGGCTTCGCTAGCGCTGCTTAAAGCAGAGCTGCGCAGCGCAGCCACCGAGGCCGAGACGCATGGCACTCTTTGCTTCGCATGCTTCGCTTCATAATATCAACCTGAACGTTCTGTGCTGGGAGGCGGAGTCTGAGCGCTATGCCTGGGAGGCGCACAGCGATGCGACTTGTGAACATTAGCATTACTATTACTGTGTGATATTATTGTTAGCATCAGTCTCGCGATCACGGTTACGATTGACGCCGACGCAGACTTCTACTTCTTCTACTGCTGCTACTGCCACTGCCACGACCACTACGAATACTACTCCTCCTCCAACTCCTACTGCTAGTGCTCTAGTAGGACTATTACTCCCCCGCACAACCACAGCAAAAAAAGAACAGGTGTTTTTTGCGCTTTGACACAACGTCGGCCCTCCCCCATGCCATCCATGCCCACCCTCCCCCTCCTTGTGGATGGCTCCCACAAATTTGCTTGTTTTGGGTCATGAGCCCCGACACCACCTCCCCCCCAGGCCCCTCAGGACAATCCCCCAACTCGACTTCAAGCCGAATAGCATCTGTGCTGGGCCGGATGGACTGCGATTTGCTGTTACATGAATGCTTTGGGATCGAGCCTCGTCAGACTCGCCCTGTCGGCTAAACGCCGTAGGCGGTAAATGGCTTGCTAGCCTTGACGGTAGTGCCGTTTCGTGCGGGAGAACCCAAAGGAACATCCGCGAGCATCATGAGCACGCGGAGAACGTGCGCATGGGGTGCGGGCTTGTGTCGTGCGTGTTTTGGAGCCGGCGGCGATAGCACTGCAGGGGCACGACATCATCAGCATCAGGGGGAGGGTAAAAGGGGGAGTCGGATTGCCATCGGGACTTTCGTCCATGATCGATCGCAGTTTTTCTGTCATAGCAGATCCTCGAATCTGTACAGCACATAGCATGGATCGCCAGCGTGGCAGAGGAGACCGAGAAGGAGTTGCGGGCACAGCTAGAGACTGCACGCAACGCGGCTGAATGTCTGCTTTTGAGAGGCTCAGGGCACCTGGATGTGTTGAGTGAGTCTCAAGGGTCTCAAGGCCCCAACCAAAGTCAACGACAGCTCTACCGCAAGCGCTACCGAGCCAGGGGAACTCCTAGGCGGCTAATAGCCAAGGGGGGCGGAGCGTGGGGACTAGGGACCTCAAAACCATGAATCCATCAGGCCTGGAAATAGGCGGCGCCTATTTCTCAACCGCTGCGAGCCTCAGCAGATCTCAGGACAAGCGCGACAGCAGAGTCGAGAAGAGGCCGAGGCGACAGCTCGGTGAAGTGCAGTCAACTCTTCACTTCTCCGCTACTTCTCCTATATTCCAGTGCGCAGGATCTGTCGCATCGCCTGGACCGCAGCCAGGCGCTTCCTGCCATTAGCCATGCAAATCCAAACTCTGGAAAATTGTATTTTGCCCTCAGTGGCCATGGATACAGCATGTGATGTGGCTCGTGTATGAAAGATCACGTGACCGTAGATGCATTGGAGTAGCTTCAGCAGGAGACATGTGCAGTCCTTTTTGAAGTCAAGCAGGCTTGGGCATAAGTCGCAAGAGAGGTGTTCGAGTGTAAGTGCAAGCATGTCGGAGCCGCTGCTGGCCGCCACCGCACTCCATGACCGCCCAGCATGGTTAGACGAAGTCGACCGGTTCTTCTCCGTCTCCAGACGCGGGAGCACACTTGCAACAGAGTTTCGGGCTGGGACTACTGCCTTCCTGGCAACTGCGAACAATTTTGTGGTAAATGCACATATTATGAGCCATGCAGGGCTGGACCCCGAGAGACAGCTCGTCAGCGGTGCATTTGCTGCTGGACTGACTTGCATCATCTCGGGGCTGCTCAGCAATCTTCCGCTCGGGATGGTTCCATCGGTGGGACCGAATGTGTACATAGCCTATAGCTTGGTTGGACCTCACCTCTTTGGGGTCCACGAGGCACTCGGCGTCTCAGCTGCCTGTGGTTTGGTGCTTGTTCTCCTTTCACTGACACCTATGCTGCGGATGATTTTGGGTTTAATGCCCTTGAGCATTAAATACGGTCTGCTCGTGGGCACCGGGCTGTTGACTGCATTCATTGGCTTGAAGTCTATTGGTGTCATCGTGGCAGATGAACACGGACAGGATATAGTGGCCCTTGGCAATTTGCACAGCCTGCCTTGTTCCATCTCCATCATCTCTTTGATTTTTACCGCGTCCATGCTTTACAATGCCATCACCGGGGCTGTCCTCGTTGGCATGCTGAGCGCCACACTGGCTTCCTGGTACCTGCTCGAGGACTGGCCCAACAGGTTCGTGTCCTTGCAGGGAGTTCATTTCTTTGAGCTTCACTTCGGGATGTTGGCAACTACGCAGGCGTGGGCAGAAGTTGCTTCATTGCTGCTAATGCTACTGTTCTCGCTCAGCGGTGCCATCATCGGAAGTGCCAAAATGGCCGGCCTTTTGGCCGAAGATGGGAGTGTCCGAGGGAGCACTGCGGTTTTTGTTTCCAGTGGTATTGGAACGGTGTTGTCGGCATGTCTTGGGACCGCGCCGATTTTCGTGAGCATGTCTGCCGCAGCTGGCATCCGAGACGGTGGGCGCACGGGCCTTGTGTCCATTGTAATTGGCATCTATTCCCTTCTTACTGCATTCGTGCTCTCTCCTCTTGCTTCTGCTGTGCCTGAGTGTGCTGTCTCCCCCGTGTTGGTGCTCGTAGGTGTCTCCATGACTGGCGAAGCCAGGGAAATTCAATGGTGGAACATGTTGGATGCACTTCCTGCATTCCTGTGTGCCATCTTCCAGCCATTCACCTACAGCGTTTCCAACGGAATTTATGCTGGCTGCGGAATGTCCATCATCTTGTTCTTTACGACGGGAACTTTCCTGTCCTACTGCCCAACACTGCGAACCTACGCCGGAACACCCAGAGCCAGTTTGTTGGGAGAGACTACACCGCAGCTACAAATGCAACGATCGTTCGAGTCGATGGGCGTTTCGGATTGTGAAGTTGGCATGACTGGTGCCCAACTTCCCATCGAAAGCCCGCTGGTGAAAGCCATGCATCACTATTGTGAAGGAGGCTCCTTTGGTCTGGACGAAGACACGAACGATCTTGATTTTCGAGCGAAACTGATCCACCTGGGAATCTCCTCTAAATATGAGGCATTACACTTCATCGAGGAGGCTTCAAAATTTGTTGGGCTTGACCCTGCCAAAATGATGGAGGTAGTGTCGGAGCGTCTTGAAGCTGGGAGAAACGTGGAATCCCACTACATCGGTGGATTCCCAGGCGTTGAAACAGCTCGCACGAACCAGGAATTCCTCCGGCAGCAAACGCTGGTGCGCAGACAATCAGAACATTGGGATCCGACATTGGCCGCCACAAAGCAGCGCACAAGAGGCCAGAGCTTTTTCCGAAAAGGTTCTCACCGCCTCTGACACAGCAAATCACCGACCTGTTGGGCTCGCGCTGCGTTGGAGAAATCGGAGAAATGCCATGTGAGTTTAAGAACCCGACGGTCACTGCATGCTAGCTACCAGCGTAAACAGTCATAAAGGTACGGCACTCAGATCAGCGATGCTAGCATGTCGGACTCTGGAGACAGGACGATGTCAAAGCATTGCAGAAGCAGATGGCTGCTCTCCGAGAAGAGCATGCCGCGGTTGCCAAGGACAGGCAGCTGAAGCATCCCGACAGTAGTGAAATTACTTTGGACATACATGTCCTATCTCTTTTGAGAATCGTAGTAGTCCATAGAACGAGATAACTTGTACAGCAAGAATCCGAGAAACAAAAGGTTGCAGCGACCTGTAGCTCGGATTATTCGAAAAGGAGCGCGATGACTTGCTCCAACGCCTGGAAGACGAGCAAGCAGAGATGCGACTTGGTCTTGCAAACTTCGCAGAGTTCACAGAAAGAGACTCCCTACAGCAGTGACCTCAGGATAGCAAGAGTAGCCGCAGTGGAGGAGCGGCTCTCCCAGCGAGGCTCCAAGGCAGGCTCGAGTCTTAGAAAAGAGAGCTTCCAATCTGCGTGATCGCTGAAATCGCCTCAGGGCACTTCGAGATGACATTTGCATGACCTGGCGAGTGCCACGGCACCAGTAGTTTCCAGGCTTCGTGCACCAGGATAAGATGTTGAATTTGGGAGTCTTTTGTATCCTGTACTCGCGTGGAACAGTTTTCAAGGATGTAGTTGCACCTGCCGTTCCTTTGCTGAAGCTTTGGAGCGCTCCCGTGCAAGGCTTGGCCTAGTGCTGCCAAGCGAGACATACTGCTTCCAGGAATGTGCCTTAAACGACTGGTCCACCAGCTAAACATACTCTGCAATGTAGCAACGGCTTCTTGCCTGGGTGCTGGACCCCCGCCTCGGGTTTCACCGCCTTTGCAAAGTCTGGCAGCGTCTTCGAGAGAAGGCGTCGCTTGAAGGCGCGAAACTCTGCGTGTGCACATTGAGCTTTGCAGCTTGCATGGATTTGCATGGGTTGTTAATGTTTGCAGGCTGACGGCTGCATTGCTTGTCATGCGATCTTCAACATGCGAAGGCCAAAGTTCCTGGTAGGAGGGAGGTCAAGAGATACTGGAGCCTGAAAAGTTCACGCAAGCAGCAAAAGCACGCGTGATCGAAGCAGCTGTCGAAGCCACACACACACACACAGATTTCAGCATGATGGCACTACGCCTCCGCCGGCTGGGTAGCATTGCAGGAATTTCGTCCAAGCCGAGGCTTGCCCCTGGATTAGCAAGACTTGGAAGCAGCACAGCTGAGTTTGCTGAGCTTGAACATCGTAACTGGCAAAAGGCAGTGCATGCGTACGACCAAGGGTGGGGGTCCTTGACTCGCCAGTGCATCCCCGAGCTGTTGACAGGCGTTGGCTGTCAAAGGGGTTGTCGCCTGGTGGATGTGGCAACTGGGCCAGGGTTCGTTGCCGAGGAGGCTGCTAAGGCTGGTGCAGATGTTGTCGCGGTGGACTTTGCAAGAAACATGGTGGATCTGGCACGAGCACGACTAGCGAAATCGCTGGGTTTAGAGAGTGTCCAGTGCGTGGAAGCAGATGCGGCCTCAATGCCTTTTGACGCAGAGACCTTCGATGCTGTTGCGTGCAGCTTCGGTGTCCTTCACCTTCCTGAGCCAGAGGCCTTTTTCACCGAGGCTTTGCGAATTCTGCGGCCGGGTGGCCGTCTCGGCTTTACGGTTTGGGCGCCCACTCCATCCACAGAGGCGCTCGCACTTGTGCACACAGCAGTCCAGCAGCACGGAAACCCAAACGTTCCCTTGCCAGAAGCACCTCCTTTCTTCCGCTTTGCAGATGCAGCAGATACTGCTCGGACACTTTCTGCGGTGGGATTTGCGGAGATTGTGTCCAAGCAGGTTGCAATGTGCTGGGAGGTGAAGGATGCAAGGGAGACGTTTGTGGCTTTCCGGGATGGCACTGGGCGCACAGCTGCACTGTTGGCGGGCCAATCCCCTGAGCAGCTACAGGCAATCGAGGCCGCCATAACTGAGGGAACAGAGGCAAAACGGAGCGGTCCCGACCAATCTTGCCGCCTCCAGATGCCTTGCATATTGACTCTTGCCACCAAACGCTGAGCCTGCCGATGCCTGCAGAGAGAGCACGGCATTAAGCCTTAGGTGTGATCTGGGTGCACAGTCCAACCTATGGGACGTGATTTTTCGGCGACGCGCTAGACCAACAGAGACCCTAGAACCTGCATCTCAGACGGAACCTGCACGGCACACGATCCCAAGCTTTTAACGGTCTGCTTGGCATTGCTCGTTGGCTGAGGTCTCTGCAACAGCTGAGATAATCATCATGGCACCTATGTCCATCTTCCAGCAGTGTAGAGAAGCCGCTAAGCAACGCATCGGGCAACACACCTTACACTCCGGGTCTGACTGCTGCAACGAAGCATTAGTACCCAGACGAAAAAAGAGGAAGTCTGCCTCTCAGATCCCACACTCGATTTCAATCTTCATGACTATGACAACTCTTCGAGCACTTCGGATGGCCAGCAGATCCCGCTGCCAAGCCTGGGGAGCAGCAGTTGATCAGAGAAGAGGTGTGCTGCCGAGACTCTTGTTCTGCGAGCGGACAAAGCCCACAAGCCTTCGACTGTAGGCTTGGCTGTGCCCTGAGAGGTCTCAGACTGGCTGGGCCTTCGTGGTCCAGGCGCTGTGCAAGCGTTCCGCCCACAGAGGACCTCAAAAACTGTGTTTATCGGCCGCACCCTGAAAGTTCTGATGAGGGGCATGTGGCATGTGTGACAATGTGTGATCACATGCCTCCGAAGGACTGGCGAACAGTGCCGAACGCGCTCACAGCTTTGCGGCTGGTGGCGGTGCCGGGCATCTTTGCCACCTGGTACTTCAGCATCAAGTATACGGAATAGGGCAACCACAAGGTGACATCGTGAAAATGAGGTATTTTGAGCTCCACGGTGCAACCGCTGCCCTTTTCGGCGCGGCCGCTGTAACAGCAACCGCCCTCAGTATGGCACGTCCCCTGCCGCTATTTGCAGCACTGGCTCTGCTTGCAGCAGCAAGGACTGGTTCGATGGTTTCCTGGCACGACGGTGGAACCAAAAGACCGCTTTGGGGGCCCTCCTTGATCCTCTCGCGGACGCTTGCAATGAACGGTGGGTGCTGTCAGCGGAACGCTCAAACTGATACTACATTCCCTATATTCGGTCAGGCCCATGGAGCATCTCGGTGTCAGGACAAGCTCCTGGTCTCCTCCACCTTGATCATCCTTGTGGAGCACACGGCAAGCCCTGTTGCGGCTTGGTAAGTTTATTCCTTGCCAGGGCTGGGAAGCCTTACGGCAAGTGAGGTCTCGCTGCCCGCGGCGGCGATCCTGGCACGTGAGCTCGGAGTTTCGACTCTTCGGGAATGGACCCAAGTGCACCGGCCCGAGGCCCCCCGAGGGGCTGAAGTCGGCTGAAGGAATTGCGCTGTCGCAACACGCTGTCATCGGCTCAACAGTGCCCATGTGAGGCTGCCAGCAGCGTTTCAGTTGCCTGGCATGGCGTCTGGTCAAAGAAAAACTGTCCGATCCCACACAATATTTTGCATGTAGCCCATGCGTAACATGCCAGAGCTATGCTATCAGGCCTAGCAGATGCACAACACAGTCGCAGTATGAAAAGCTTGTTGACTGTAGCTTCTGTGGCTTAGGCAAGGCAAAGGCAGCAGCGCAGCTGCTCGCGCTTCAAGGTTTGCTTGCTGGCATCGCTTTGAGAGGCTTGTCTCTGACTGGCGAAAGCAATTCCAAGCGACCGGCTGGGATCAAGATATCAGCAGCACTTCAAAACCAAGTTCCAACATTGCCTGAAGCATGTTTACGGCTGTAGCATTCTCAGGTGACGTCGAAACTACGACGGAGGTTGATGGTGAGTCTCAGGCTGCCGAGCACTGCGCACCAAGAATGTCTGCAGAGCACATTTTTTTCCGCAGGCATGGGGCCCTTCAGTCTACAAAGGACAGAGAAGAAACTTTGCGCTCCACTAGCTCAAACGGCACGTCTCGGAAGTTTCCCAGGAAGCCTGCTTCTGCTGTGGCTTGCTGCAGGGCTTACATTGGGCAGTGGTTTTCAGCAACGCGGCCACAGCGGTTTTGCAACACGATGAGGCTTGAGATGTGTATGCGGCCATTGCAAAAGGGAGGAGAAGCCTGCTCATGTAAGGTATGCCGCCGCTTTGTCCCAGCCTTTGACCGGACACACCCTGTATTTTCAAGCAGAGACATGTTTTCTTGCAGATTTCGGCAAGGGTCATGGAACTCCAAGTGCCCGATTGCGGCAGTAGAAGTGCATCTTAGAATCTTAGAGCATTGGCCACAGTCCAGTCACCCCGGCTCTGAGCATCGTTCTTAGGCGCTTGTGAGCTACACCTCCGGTGTGGAGAGCAGCTCGCAGCCGTGCAGAATGCCCAAAACACGCACAGGACGGTCAGTTTCGCGTGCTGGAAAGTCTGCTCTTGGAAGTGCAAGCACTGTACTGTGTCTCGCTGCCGCTGCCGCGACCGGCATCTACCCAGGTGGTACAGGTAGCCAGGTAGCCGTCATGGAATCGTCCAGACAAGAAGCCAACGACTTGTGGAAAGGCAGCTTTGCGATTCAGATCTGCGCTGTCAGAAGTTCTACGTAGGTCGAAGGCATATTTCAGGCAAGCTCGTCAGCCCACTGCCGGAGCTTTCGTGTTTAGAGCGGGATACGGCAACGCTTGCAATGGAGAACGCTGCTGGACCGGTGCGCTGACGCCATGGAGGCTTGGCGTTGCTGTAAAGACGTGGGCCGCGATTTCGAGGCCTCCGAGGCATCAGCTTGAGGAGGGTCTTCGTGGTGTACAGAGGGGCTGCCAGTCTCCGCTTCCGTGCGTGCCGTGAAGCAGTTAGCTTACATCTTTCAGGTTCGAGTGGAGGCAGCTGCCGGTCTTCCCACGGATGCAGTCCCTCGATGCACAAGTCACCGGCACAAAGTTGATGAGGCGGAGCCGCCTTGTGCAGCTCTAGATCGGAGGGAGATTGCATAGCAATCACCTTCCGCATCGCGAGTATGATGCACTTCGCGATGTTTTAGCTGAGGTGCTTTCACTACGGCTTGGGGCCACCCGAAGACAAGCTCCCTTACAGCGGCCTGTTTCAATCGCGCTGCCCTGTCACAGTGTAAGCCAGCTTCGCCTGCACGATGCCATCCCAGCAAAGTCCAGCAGTACCCTGGAGCTTCACTATCTTTCGGTCTGAACATCTGGAATACTTCAGGAGCGCACTGTCGCACCCGCTGCGGTTTTCAACCTTCCTGGATTCTGCAAGCATCTCGGCCTGACAGAGTAGAAGGATCTGCCCTGCCATTGGCCTGTCCAACTGTACGAGAGATCAGTGGCTACAGATCCTGCCAAGACCGAGAAGCCGAAGGGTTACTCCCGTCACATGCTCGCCACGGCACCTGCAAGGTTTTGTTCGCACGTGCATGTTTTGAGGTGAGCCTCTTCGCCTCGACGTCATGCGACCGATGTCCACAGCACAGGTTGTTCTGCGGGCGGAGGAGACGTGGCTGTGACACAGCGACGAAAATGTGGATTCTGCGAGTTACGCAGGATAGCTGCGTAGCCGCATACTGCATACTATCAGGAGCACCGCTACACCGTGCCCCTCGCAGGTTGTCCTGTGTCATGGCTAACCAACCTCGCGGTTTCAGCAACTGTTATGCAGGTTGTTTGCACATGTTCGGTCGTAGTGCCCGGAGCCATGCTTCTGATTCCCGATGTGGGATAGCGGGACTGCGTCTTCAGGTTGAGCCCGTGTTCCTTTACCGGATGTACACCGGAGAAGAGAGAGCCCCTGATCACAGCATACTGCGGCACTACCTGACAAAGCGCACTGTTCCCACAGCCCTTCATGCTCGGTTCGCGACGACAGTCGCCAAGCCAATGCACCAAATGTTTACAGACAGACCTTTGCTAGCATGATCACGCCCTCACTCCGATGATGAAATGATGCTGCTGCCCATGCTGCCTCCCCGAGTGCATGCTGCTGAAAGCACTCTCGTAGATTGACCATATCTCTTAACCTTTCTTAACTTCTTAATTAATTCAATGGCTGCCGCCACTGCCGTGGACGCCCACACAAATCGTGAATCCTATCATGAGCATATCTTTCCTTGCAGATTAGGACCGGTGCTACTTCCTCACAGAAGGCAAGCCCAGGGGGCAGTGAGGACGCTGCGCACTATGGTGGGGGCACGCATTGGAGGCTCTGACTACTTCCTCACAGAAGGCAAGCGCAGGAGGTAGTGAGGATGCTGGGGACCATGGAGACGGGGGGAAGGCCATGGGGGCGGTGAGGTGGGGTGGGGGCGGTGTGAGCGGTGGGAGGCCGGGGGCGCGGTGGGGGCGAGGGCGGGGGGGTTTGGGCAAGCATTGGACTTAAGGCAAGCCCGGCGGGCGGTGAGGACGTTGGGGACCATGGAGGCTGTGAGCGGTGAGGGTGGCGGGGGTTTGTGGCACGCATTGGAGGCCTCTAACCACTTCGTGACACAGAAGGCAAGAACTAGCCCAGAGTGAGGGCAATTGGGGCGATGGAAGCTGGCTGCGGGCGGTGGAAGCGGTGAGGGCGGGCAGTTAGGTCAATAAACGCGAGTGAGGACGGGCGCTGGGGACAGGTGGCGGTGTGGGTGGAGGGGGTCTGGGCGCGTATTGGAAGCGTCTAAGTACTTCCGAAGGGGCCTGGGCACCCGAGCCAAGGGTGGGGTAGTTGAGGCGAGGCGCCCAGGGAAAAAGCCAAGAGCAGAGCCTCGGAAAAAAAACAAGAAAAACCCTTCACAGTTTCACGGGCGCCGCCCCAAAGGATAAAAGGATAATAGTGGACGAAGTCGACCACAGACTAGAGAGCTCGCTCAGGACGGGGCAATCCAGTTCTCGGTGAAGCCTTCCTTTGCCAAAGTTGCAGAGCGAGGTCCTCGAGCCCTGATTTGATAGCATGCACTCTGCATGTTTGAGATGACAGACGTTTAACACTTGCAGGGCTGCAGGGAAGGTGCTCCAAGAAGCCGAAAGGAGAGAGACAGCGGCAGTAGACTAGACTAACACTACTCCGGGCACGGCACAGACGGCACAGAGGTCGAGAAGAAACTCGCGCTAGCACCAGAATTGGTGGGACAGCGATTCTGTTCAGGGGCTGGCGAGGGCAACCTGTACCCTCCTTCCTGGCAGTCGTTACCGAAAGCTCGGACGGCCAACACTGCTCGGACGATCAACATCCGGCATAACTACATGCCACCGGTGCCCGAAACCCGACCTTGAGTAGGCCCAAGGTTTGCGCATGGTTTTGGCCATGCAGCGGCTGCATGCGCAGGGTTTTGAGCCTTTTCTTCGCAGTCTTCGCGAAATGTTGCGATGATGAACTGCACTGGATGCCGCCCTCCAGAGATTAGAACATGATGCAGGCAAATGCAGACAATGTCAGTTACTGAGTCCTCAGGGTGTGTTATCCAAGAGCTTTGCTTTAGGTGCACTTTGTGTTTTGAGAGATGCCCGGCATCAGTTGGACGAACTATCTCCATGAGGGTTGATTTTGCCGGCAATTTTCCCACACAGCTTTGCACTGTGATGCCTTCCTGGCAGGTCGGGGGACCGATGCCTACAGCGCTCCCTCCTTACCAGGATTCAAGGAGCTGACAATGACGTAAGCAGCGTAAGAGGAAATGGAGTTTTGGAAAATTGAAGGACGCAGCTGCCTCCGCGAAGGAGACCTTCAGAGTGAACCCAGTGAGCGCCCAGAATGCCTGCAACTGCTTGCACCAGGAATATCTCGAGAGACACCATCTCCTTCAGTACATGCAGTCGCTGCTTCACGCAGTGATTCAGGCAAAACCCAAGGCGACTTGGACGTCACTGGCGAGGGAAACCTTAGACATCAGGACGGGTTTTTGATGTCACAGAGAGCACTAAGTTGAGCTTCGTCAGGATCCTGTCGCCTACATGATGAGTCTAATGAAGACTTCGCATCGCTCCGACCGCTCCGACCGCTCCGAGAGCCGGAGGTGCCGACAGGGCGTAGGGCCGTGTAGGGTGAATCTTCCGCCCTTTGAACGCAGTTGCGCGTTTGCCAGGTCATCTGAAGAGGCTCTTTGCTGGGGACCCGCAGTCAGCCGTTTTCCTTGAGTGCGATTTGCCCGCTGGCAGGTTCCAGAAGCTCGCAGTGATCCAGGACCAAGTGCTGCTCGGCAAGCTCCCAAAGTTCGCGCGAGTGGAGCTGTTCTAAGACTAACATCAAGAGCAAGAATGGGAAAAGCTCCAACGCTGGAAAGAGGTGCCACCACAAGCAGAAATGCAGAGACAGAGAGGCAAAACTCTGCGGCAAGAACAGGGGATAAGGAAGCCAGCAAGAGAAAAAGAAATTACAAATGGCCAAGAAGGAAGGAAGGAAGGAAGGAAGGAAGGGAAACTTGAAAGGCATGAAAGTACAAAGAAAGCAAGGAAGCAGGAAGCACGAAGGAAGACGAAAACGGGAAGAGAGGAGGAAACCCAGAGGACAGAGCAGGGAAGCAAGCGAAGACTACAATGTTTGGCTATTACTTCGGCAAACAAACTTCAGCTGTGCTGTTCATCTTGAGAAACCGAATGATCGGCCTTTTTGCTTGCATTCCGAGCTATGCTTTTGAAACCCCTTCAGAAGTAACTGAGTTTCACACTGGTACCGAAAACCCCTGTCCCAATCGTCGCCTAACAAACCTGCGTAAAGAATCCAACAACAAAGTGATGTTGACTGCCAAACTTGGTGGTTGCCTACCTGCGGTGGTTGGTTTGTTCATACCAGTATGGTAACATGACTCTCTTATAGCGACCGATGTGAGTGTGTGTGTGTGTGTGAGTGTGGATGGCCGACTTAACAAATTGTGAACCTGCCTCGCCTGTAGTGTCGCAGCGTGCGTGGGAGATGGTGACCTTGCACTCCAAAAGGTCGAAAACCTAAGAGCATGAAAGGAGATGAAACAAGTCGCCGATAGCCTGCAATGCTGTAGCTACCATAGCTACCTTAGTAAGTATGGATGTTCGACATCGCAAACTTCACTTGGTTCGCCAATCTGTGACGCTGGAGAAGGAGACGATGGGCAGGAAACCCTGCAAACGAGATCTTCACAGACTACAACCTAGGTTGCGACAGTGTCATCTCTATCTCTAGTTTTTTGCATCTTTGGGTGTTAGAGGAGCTGGGGCTGGCTGTCCGGGACAAGCGTGCTCAAGGGAGTCCGTGTGGATCTGAGTTTGGCTATGTTTCTTCCACCAACCTCGCCTGACACAGTCGAGCGCGGGTGCCAAAAAATTGCCTAACGCGAGAACCTAAAATGCTGCGATCCTCCGTCTCGGTGCTAGCCATGCTTTGGCTGGTTTAAATTGAGGGCTTTCTGGTAACAGCCTTTTCGATTTTTGTTTTAGAACCTACCTCGGATTTGTCGATTTCAAATCTTAAGATTTTTGGAAGAGTTGGCAAAATGATGATCTTTTTTATGCTTCACCCCCCGCACCGTGTGCAGGCGGGAACGGCACTTGTGCCGCTCTAACTGCCAGCGGGCTAAGGTTGCTGGCAAGGAGATCCTACTGGGACAAACTGCTTCCGATCCAGGCATTGGGCCCGAGGCGGAAGATGCAGACAGCGTGGTAACCCAGTGAACAGCACGTAACTCGGCTGGCAGGCGCTGGAAGCCACCGAAGCTGAACCCTGCGCACCCCCGCAGGATGCAGCATCTCCGCAGCAATCAACAGTCACATCATAGTGATTCTGCCTTCTGTCCGCTGGAGGATGCGGTTCTGGCTCGTTTTGTGGGACCACATCTGAGGACCAACACGCCTCAGCGCGCAAAGAGGCGATCGGTGAGTGTCATTTGCCGGGACTTTGTTGTGCCAAGTTCTCTTGTTTCGATTTCAGGATTTTGTTTTCGACTCCAGCATTCCCACGCCCACCCTCAAGCCACAGCACCTCGACATCGCTCCTTGGTTTCTGTACCGATGATGAGAGCAGGCCCACTGTTTCTGAGTGTGCAGCTGACTCGACAATAGCCTCAGGAGGATTCGCCTGCCTCTGCAAGACGGAAAGAGCTTGCCCTGACACGTGCGGTGACCGTGCTGCACATTGAACTTGGCCTGCACGTGCTGCACATGCAAGCCTTTGCAAGCCGCTTGGTGCTTCGCTCTTTCTGCCTCGACACGCAAGGCACTCGATCCACAGAGGCACGATTATGCCCGAAGTTGGACAGGAAGTCGTGATGTGGGTGACGCAGGTTGAAAGAAATACGGACGAGCCTGCAACGACAGCTGCAGAGCACTATCTCGGAAGGGAAACTGGCCCTTCTCCCAGTATTTGGCGCTGACCCCGCGAGCAAGTTCATCGGAAGAGTTCCCTTGCACCTTGCCAGGAGACGTCTGTTCAGAAGGCACTGGAGTTGATGACAGACCCATCATTCGAAGCAGAGGCCACCGAATCACCACGTTCATCCGATCGCTTGCGTATACAGCCCAGTTTACGGCCCAGCACTCTCGCCGCAAGGAGCACTTGAGGAATGAACTCATAATTCTCCTTTCGGAGAGGAAGGAGCTGATGTCCCGCACACACAGGCACTGGCGTATCCACTGTCTGGCAAAGCCAGACAGCATGTGCATGTTTTGAGTTTGAGGTGCTTGAAGACGATGCGCTAGGGGTGTTGCTTTGGCTTCTGGGAAGGCTGACGGAGGAGCTGCATCAGCTGAGGCAGTTGAACCAGGATCTCCACCTCAAGCTATCAAAGAGTAGCGACTATGGGTAGATGCGAAGCGGTTGCATACACCCGCCGATAGTTTTCAATTCTAGTCACCAGCAATTCGCGGTCAAGCTGGCAAAGGCAGTCTCAAGCAAGGGTGTCGCAAGTGAAGACCGCTTGCGTCTACGGCCTTTGCGAAACTGGAGGGCCATTGGAATGCACAAGAAGCATAAAATCTTTCCAGGGCTTCCACCGAGAACTGGCTTTCATATGATGCCTTCGTACCTCAGCAAGACATGGAACAGTGCTGTGTGGATTGTGCGCGAAGTCTCGTTGGCACAAGCGTGAGTTAGTGAGCATAGTGGTCGCTCAAAAGAGCCACGAGACACCTTGCCAGCACCTTATCACAAGTCGCAGAGATATAGAGCTGGCGCGCCTTCCATTTTTACTTATGATGTCTTGCAAGTGTAGTAACTCTGCGCCAGCTGCCCACCTTTTCCCTTGGAGCTTCACCGGATCAAGGTACTTCCACAAGACAGCTCATGGACTCAGCCTGCTTTCGCCATGGCTGTAGCGGGGCCGCGGGAAAATCTGCAAGGCAATGACAGTAGATATCGATGACGCTGCTTCCACGCTGCGAAACATGCCTAGCGCATGTCATCGGAGAGCGACTGTCAGGAGTGATGGGTCCACCTCCTGCAGCCTGTATCAACTTCTGGCACAGTATCAACGTCCAAGACTGCAGGTGAGCTTTTTCCAACTTAGGCTGTTGAGCGCAGGGAGTTTGAGCTGCTACCGAAACTTGGCCGCCATTTGCTTCGCAAACGTGCTTGGCTCACGTATGCTGTTGAACTTCGTCAAGGACATACCATCGTTTACTGCAGTATGGACAGGAGGTCCGACGTAGCTGTTTTGGCCGCGAGTTACTGGAGTCGAGTGCCTTGTTATCCTTGTTGCGTGGCGCAGGATTGCAGAAGTGGCTCGGATGACGGTATAGCGGTCGATGTGCCAGCGTGGGCAACCAGCTATCTCGCTTCCGGTTGGAAGCTCAGTCTTCATACAAACTCTGCAGATCGCGGTAGTGTAGTGATAACTTGCCATTTTCCTGAAGGTGCCACAGAGATGCGTCGAAGCATCCTGGAGATCGGCACGGATGAAGTGCAGGCTTTGGTTCATTCTGCCACTTCACTTTGACGTAGACGTAGAGTTTGGTGTATCTATGGTACCAGTAGCAGATATACGGGCAGCCACAGACATCTGGCGATCGGCCCGGCCATGGCCCCTGCTGAGGTGATGGATTCCTCAGACTTCAACCTTAATCTGGAGTTTCCAGACCAGGATGCCGACGTGATGGTTTGAGCGTGCCTGCGCTTTGAAGCGGAAGCGGGTTGCCTGTGGGGGGCATTGGCGCTCTGATGCTCCAAGCCCCACATTTGCAGGAAAACGGCGAAGCAATCGAAGCCTCCCCGACGGCCAGGCGCTTTCGGGCTGCTGCTTGTCACAGGATGTCACATGGTTTGTCAAAACCTGAGCAGGCAGACAAAAAGTGCACGGAAGCCAAAGGAGCATCCGAAAAGACGGTTGAAGGCCTGCTTGGTTTCTGTATGTCACAAGCACGCAGCAGACCTTCATAACAAGCGACGAAAACCTGGAATTGTCAACGTCTTTGTGATTGCTGGAAACTGTCAGGAGACACGTTGGGGCCGTTGCTTGGCACCCTGGTGCCGACAGCTGGCATTGCAGCCTGCACTGGGAAGCCGAGGTGGTAGTTCATGCGAGATGAGAGACTAGACTGGCGCAGTGTCAGGGCTTCCTCCGTGGGTACTCGTTGCAAAGGCTTTGTGGCTGCAGAAGCCACCCCAAAAGATCTAGATTGTCCATGGTAACTGATATTCATGTGACTCTGTGGCCATGTCGCAATGTGCTCCCGAATCACAGGTCCGTTTCTGGTTTGCTCGGCCAAGAGCGGCTGCCGCTTTAAGAAGGAAAGGGAGATGAGACGTCCATTCTCACACACACCTTCGCACAGGGCTTGGTTTGGGACTTCTTCGACCCACTTTGCAGCACTTTTTTCTCTTGGCTTCCGTGCAGGACCTCTCGGCGGCTCAGTGGCGCACTTTGCCTGCTGAGTGGCTGCCACGTGACAGAGTAAGTTCTCACAAATCCGACAAACGAAGATAGCTTCTAGCTGTTGTTTGCACTTTAACTCGAGTGTTCATTGGAGGATGAATGAAGGTGCCATCCCATCAGCTTTCGGAGTTCATGCCCGGCAGGCGTGCACACGGAATGTCGAATTAGCTGTAACATCAAATACTTTGGCGCTTGCGGAATTAGATGATTCGCGCTGATGTTGGTGTTTGTTGTGCACAGCGTGCTCCAGCTACAGTGCCGTTGGTTTCCAAGCGAAAAGTCGCTAAAGTCCGAGCAGGGCCACACGGTGAAGCTCCTCGGGCCTCCTTCATGTTGTTTGCATCAGTCTGCATCCGTCCGTTCTCAAGGATGTTGAGATTGAGACTCTCTAAAGTTGACGGTGGTGCTCCCACCACAGTTCCAAGCAGTTTTGGATGCGACTCGTCTTCCTGCCATAGTGTGGTACGCTTTTTGGACTCACGGGTGTTGTGAATTTTGGGGTATGTAGGACTTGGACTGCTGGATGCTCGTTCATTGTTGAAGACGTGCGGACCTGGCTACTGAGGAAGTACTGGCCGATATCCTGGGCCGCTTGAATGCAAGAGCGTTCGGGAGAGCACCGCCAGTCCAAAACATTTCCCCAGCACTAGAGCATTGCAGCACCGAGGCAGCAGTAAAGCCGTGGCTGCGCCCGCAGAGGCCATGGCTGCAAGCGTTATGTTGACCGGATCCAACAGTTCTCTCGGTTGAAAGGGATTTGGGATCAGGCAGTACGTGGTTTTCTCCAATGCGCAGCACATGGGTTCTCGTTCAAAGGTGTGGGTTTTGGGATGTGTTGGGTGTTCGTGGAATGTGGGAAGCGAAAGGGGTATCGACCACTTCGTGTTGTGGAGCATCCTGAAATGCGGCAAGCGTTGGGAAATATCCTGTAAGGGCGGTGCTCACACGAGGCATCTCCAGGGGAATCGGGAACTCGGATTCCCCCGCACACACCCACATGTGCGCGGGAAGCGTGTTTAGGCACGTTGGCTTGGACTACATAGCTAAATGATGCTAAATGGCTCTTGCTCATTTACACCTCGCCGTGGTTTGGACCAGGCCTGTGGCCTCCCTGGGTTCCTCGCGCCATGTGCGGCCGCGGCGCATCTCATGGCGACGCGCTGTGCAGGCTCGCGGGCTGACCAGCACGACCCGGCACTTCTTGGGTTTTGCATGCCTTCGAAAATCTGACAAGGCATCCCAGGACTATGCTGCCTCATCTCAGGAGCCACCGGGTGTGCAGTCAGTCTGATGGTCAGCACGTCTAGAAGCTCCTGCGGCGAACAGGAGAGGCTGTTGCCGTCCCCATCACAACGCACACACAACCTGTGTCCGACTTTGATCCAACGGTGCCCAGGCTCTTGGATGCGCTTTCTCAAGCGAGCAGCGGAGGCGCCTGAGATGGAGCAATGGCTGTTGTCAAAGCCCCGTCGAAGAGACTGGAAGAGGTTTTGCTTTTGTATTTTGTGTGCCGCTTCTTTTCCACACCTTGCTTGTTTCCCGAACGGCAGCTCGACACGGCCCCTGATCGCACCCACATTGCTGCGACACTTCGGGTTTATTGAGGAAAGCATTTCGTGGAAATGCAATCGGAGCAAAAGCCGGCAGCGTTCGAAATTGTACGGCCGCTCACACGGTAGAAGTTATTATCCAAGCGTTTCTGGTGCTGCCTTTCTGGGGCTGTGTCGGTTGGCAGTTGAGCTGGCGACCTTTTGTGCTGAAAGCTCATTTTACGCTTCTTTCATGGTATGCATTGGCTCGCCGGGGCTTTCTGGCAGCGAGAGGCATCCACGTGTCGGATTTTGTAATGTCACTGTGAAAGTGGCACAATGCCAATGGCGCCTGCATGTTTCCACATGTTTCAACTGGTGAAGGTTTGCGGCCATACCTGTCGACGGGGTGTGCTAACATGATTATGGTTGTGTTGAAGCCAAAAGAACAGCCAGGAGTTCAACTACTTAACGGCCCATGAACGGATCATGGTGACGGTCATGGCCTCAAACTTCACAAGGTTCTGCGAACCTTTACTCGGTAGTAAATGATCCAGTCTTTGTTTCAGCTTAGAATCCAGGACTAGGGCACTCACCCGGCTAAAGATATCCCACGCTATGTGCTATGCGCTGCATCCCAGAAATGCTAAGCTGCTAAGATTCGAGATGTCCATCAGACCGGAGTCGAACACAGTCCCTACTGAGCGTACAATTGGTGATTGGCGTTGAGGGTGGAGGGGATGCCATGCCATAGATGCCAGAAGCTAAGCTCCCGGAGAAGCAGGGCTGGGCACAGCGGCGGCCCCCCGTTGTTGTCAGCAGACTTTGTGTGATGGTTTGTCCTCGTCGCTCTGCATAAATAGTCAGAACAACATTCGTGGGCAAGCAAGTCGCACGAAACTTTGCTTATAGCAGCCGGGTGGTGAAACTCCAGCCTGAGGAGTGTCCGAAACGTCTTTGGCGAGCAGCTTGCCATTTACTCGGCAAGACTCGCTGGCAAATGCACAAATCTCTTACAAAACTTCGTGCTGTTGAGCGGAGAAAAAAAGCCTGCATGTGCGCTCACCGCTCGTCAGGCGCACTTCTGGATTGAACTTCTCGTTTTGCAATTGCTGGAACACGAAAATGAGAATGTGGAGCTCTAGCACAGCACGTCATCACTGGTGGTAGCAAGAATTTTGAGACAAGACCCTGAGAGTACCCCGACCACTCTTGCATTCAACCCTTTTCGCCGGACCTGTGTGCAGCCTACCTCTCGCCCCGGGTCCCGACTCCCATCCAGCCAGAATTGCGGTTGCGAGACACTTGAGACGTTCTGGAAGTAGTGTTTGCAGCAGGCGGGAAAGACCAACCGGTTTATGTCACATCACCCAACACTCACCGAGTGCTGTACTCACCTCCGGTTCTGATCGGGTTCTTGCAGCCTCCCTGGTCATGGAATTCAGCAAATTGCTATTGACTCTGGGCGTCTGACACGAGCTTTGGTCGCTTGTGTGACTGACTGAGTGGTACAAGCCACCACTGGAACCTATCCTTCGCTGGACGAAACAAGAAGCATGCCTTGTGATTGGCTTGACGCCTCGACATCCTGCATCCCATCGTCACAGTCTGCAATCATCATCTCGCCAGGCAAGCAGCTCATTGCTGTTGTAGACGTGCCTCCAGCTACCACCTGCCCTTTCTGAGCTTGCGTACCTGCTTGTTTACGAATCCTGTTTTCTGCAAGTCCTCGTTCATCGAGTTACGCTCATGTCCACTTTCTAGAGGGCAACCAGTCGGTATCTGTCATCCATCATGCGAAACGGGAAGCTGAGAAAGCACATTCCTGCAAGTTGCCACTGATGCTCAAGGAATCCGTACAGAACGACGGTGATGTCCAATTTGGTCTAAACAGGCATGTTAGGGTTCGAGGTCAGGGGGCTGCTCAGCTTCGAACTCCTTTTGATGCACCTATCTCTCGAAAACACTTGTTGTCTCTTCATAGTATCGACACGGTTGTAAATAGGTCGTGTCTTTAATGCTGTGGAATTGGAACCACTCCATTTACGAGGGTCTCAAGAAAGGGTTTGGCGTATTTGCGTAAGCTTTAGTCTTGAAATAACCATACGGAACCCTGTGAGTGGTTGTTTCTAAGGCTGGTAGATGAGATTTGCTTGAGAAGCCCTGGCGCCAGCATCAGTGCATAGGAAAGCGGGCTTCAGCTGACGTTCCAATGGGTCGAATGTAGCCTTTGAAGAGGAAGCTCAAACACTTCATCGAGGCTCTGTCATAGCTTTGCACCAGCATTTTGCACCCAAGCAGTCGTAAGGAAGTGGCATGCCCGCGATATATCGTGATGTAGTTTTAGGGAGCAAAAACGGGCATAAACATAAGTGCTGAAGACGAAGTGCCGAAGCCGGAGAGGACCTGGCAACGCAGAAACCTTGACCATGTTTCTTAGCGGGTTCCAGTTAGTTGAAATTCCGCGCAGCCGCCCAGAAGCACCGACGCCATGCCCCAGCGGCATTTTGTGATCGCATGGCCAAGATCCGGCATGCAATCGCAGCTCTCGCAAGTGTTTCTCACGTCATGCTTGCCCTCAACGAGCAACTGCTGTTGGGATGCGAGTTCTTTTCACTCACCGAAGGCAACTGTTCCGACTTGGTGGCCCAGGGTTTGGCCATCCAGGAAGAGCTGGACGTGGCATTCATGTTATGCGAGGGGTCTGAAGTGGAAGAGGTGTTCAATGGCTTTTCAGTAACGCTGCGCATGTTTCTTTCTCCTGACGGGGTCTTCTATGTCCATGCTGCAACACTACGGCCGGGTCGCCATAGAATACATCTTCAAACTAACCACGTGCGTTTTCTGTGGCAAGCAGCCGCAAAGGAATTATCGTTGAAGACGCGGCACTTTGGCACTGTTGGCGTATTTGGTCAGGCGTGTGGTAATATGGACACCATGGTTTGGCCACCCGGTGAATGGTATGTCCCGCGCGTGAAGGTGCAGCCTCAGCACTGCTTCCAAACGCCGCTTGCTCACCACTGTTGTCAACCCATGCGTCCCCAGTGCTGGGGCTACAATCAACTACGCACTTTTGCCTGCTGCTCCGTGCCTTACGAAACGGCTTCCACCCCGACCTGTTTGGTGTCAAACCCTGTGTACCCGAACAAGAATCAAGATTGCCGAGGGCAGCCACTGAATTTTTTTCGTGCCTTCGCGGATGGAAATGAGCTTAAAGTTATTGTTGGCGGCAGGATACTGAAGCATTCGGACATCAACGGTTCGTTGGCGACCGGCTGCCTGCTGCAGAGTGTGATATATCTTTTTCATGAACTTCACCATCTCAGCCACAACGGAGAGTGGCTAGTTGCGATTCCCGTGCAACGCCTCGTTGGCTATGTGCGCCTGTTCCAGGAGCCAACATTGCCTTGTATTAGTACGTGGTACACTGGATGGGGCACCTTACATGAAATACAGTACCCCATGGTGAGGCAAGATGACTGACAATTTCAAACTTATAGTGGTGCTCGGGTGTGCAGGCGGAGATTACGTCATGCTTCCAGATTGGGGCTGTTGGTATCAAACGCATGAAAGCTCGCAGTTGTGCCGCACTGCTGTGTTACCGCGGTGGTCTCTCGGTCTCATCCTGTTTGTAAATCCGCTGATGCTTGGTTTTCGAGTCTTTGTGCTCCAATGAGACGGAGAAGCTAAGCAATGAACACATCAAGTGAGATGGAGAGAGAGAGAGAGATAGAGAGAGAGAGAGAGCGAGAGAGAGAGAGAGAGAGAGAGCAGGTGCGCGCTCGCGCGCGGAGGGTTGGGGACGGACACTACCCCAGCTCTCCCCACCTGGTAGAGAGAGAGAGAGAGAGCGAGGTTTCGGAGAGCGCGGGGTCGGGGGCCTTGCTCTGCTTCCCTGTGGCTATGTGGATAAGAGAGGGTGAAGAAACACAGTAATAACAGTTTTGTAATTGGATCTGTAACTGTCTCTTCTCACATACATACAGGCGATCTTTCCAGCTTGATCGTGAGACTATGTGACTGCATCTGCAAGAGCAAGACAAGCGCCAGCGTGAGCCTGCATCCAAAGCCAATTCCCCGCAACAACAGTATTCCCACTTCCCACGAACCGGTCACAGTCCCACTCGATGCAACCTTGCAAAAGCCACAGTCCAGGCTCAGATCACTGCCGGCACACCATGTCAAAATCCCCACAGCTTCATACATGTTGAAGCAGCAGTACTCGACCGGGTACAAGCCGAAACCTCCGTGCGCATCAACGTCAGCGTCGTTTGAATGACCCCACAAGTGTGTTCTTGGCACGCGGTGTGCAACATGTTGAACCCATGTGTTGGTGACACTTGACATGCCTTTCTCTTGTAGTACCAATAGTAGTAGTAGTAGTAGTAGTCGTCGTCGTCGTCGTCGTAGTCGTAGTAGTCGTAGTAGTCGTCGTCGTCGTAGTGGTAGTGGCAGTGGTAGTGGGAGTGGTAGTAGTAGTAGTAGTAGTAGTAGTAGTAGTAGTAGTAGTAGTAGTAGTGATAGTAGTAATGGTAGTAGTGGTAGTAGGAGGTGCAGTTGCAGGAGTCGTCGTCGTAGTAGTAGTAGTAGTAGTAGT